CCATTTCCTTCACTCTCCCCCTCCACCACCAAATTGTGTGGCCCAATAATTAACCCTCACCCCCTCCCATCCTCACAGACTAGAAAACATTGTGATTGCTTGAAAACAAAAGATAATTGTAATTGTTTTTATGTATTTCTCAAAGAGAAAAGACCTACTTTTTCATTTTCATGAAATCCTTTTTACAGATACTTCCCTATAAAGCCTTCAAGGGAATGTTTTATGACTGGTGATTGGATAGATTTATCCTGCCTGTTTTGTTTTTTCTAGTCTGATAACAGTTTTTGTGGTCATACATTACCCACTACTTCTTACTACTTATATTATCTTCTTCACTCATTATATTCCATGTCAATATAAGAATTTGTGGTATCTGCTTTAGACTATATTATACTCTGACCTACTGGGTTTTGGAAATTTGGCAAAATGCACGAATTTTCATCTTAACATGATCTTTCAAGTTTGAAGAAAAACCTTCATCTGCAGAACGTTGGGTCATTTATCTTGGTGATGCTGTGTTCTTTTGGATGGCCATGGTGGAATAATCAGTATTTTTCAGGCTAAAAAATCGGGTCAGGCCACAAAGAGTCTACTAATGTTCTCCATCCTAACTTTCAGACTTTTTTTTTTGGTCCCTCTTTAGGGAATATCAATTCCAGTGGAACCTGTGAGAATTATTAAATTGCCTGTGCACAAGGGGTAGCAGTGCATCATTGCTGTGATTACAGAGTCTGTGGAGTGATACTGTTATTGTTGTTGTTGTTGTTATGTGCCATTGAATCACTTGCAACTCATAGCGACCCTATGTACAACAGCCTTAAACCCTGCTCTATCCTGTGCCAATCTCACTGCCTCTGACACACCCACCCCAATTACCCCAGTCACTGAATCAATCCACCTCATAGAGGGTCTTCCCCTTCTGTGCCGTCCCTGCACCCTCCCAAGCATGATGTCCCTCTCCAAGGACCTCTCCCTCCTTACAACATGTCCAAAGTATGTCAGAAGAAGCCTCAGAATCCTTGCCTCCAAGGAGCAGCCTGGTCTAACCATCTCCAGGATGAATCTGTTTGTTTTCTTAGCAGTCCATGGTACATTCAGTACTCTTCTCCAGCACCACAGCTCAAAGGCATCCATTCTCCTTCTATCCTCCTTAGTCATTGTCCAACTATCGGGTGCATAACAAGTGATTGCAAAAACCATAGCCTGTATCAGACGCACCTTAGTCTCCAGAGTGACACCATTGCTCTTCAGTACCCTGGAGAGGTACCTAACAGCAGACTTTCCCATTGCAATACGTTTTTTGATGTCTTGGCTACTGGCGCCAAGACTGTTCACCGTGGAGCCAAGCAGACTCAAGTTGTTAACAATCTCAGTCTCTTTGCCATTCATCCTGATGCTGCCAATTGGTCCAGTGGTGAGAATCTTTGTCTTCTTGACATTGAGCCTCAGTCCATACTGAAGGCTGCAGTCCTTGACCCTTTGCAGCAAGTGTTTGAGGTCCTCCTCAGTTTCAGCAAGCAGGGTTGTGTCATCTGCATAACGCAGATTGTTAATAGATCTTCCACCAATCCTGACACCACACTTCTCATAGAGCCCAGCCTCTCAGATAATCTATTCTCCATACAGGTTGAAAAGGTATAGAGATGGGACACATCCCTGGAGTACGCCTTTCCCAATTTTGAACCATGCAGTGTTTTCTTGCTCTGTTCTGACGACTGCCTCTTGGTCCAAGTATAGGTTTCGCATTAGAATGATCAAGAGTTCTGGGATTCCCATTCTTCTCAGAGTCAGCCACAGTTTGTTATGATCCACACAGTCAAACGCCTTTGCATAATCAATGAAACACAGATAGACATTCTTCTGGTATTCCCTAGTGAATCAAAATGAAATGTGGGCCAAGAGCAGGGACAGGCAGATTTGTTGTAGGAGAGTTTCAAATCCTTGTGCACACATTACCATTTTTCTTTATCAGCTATAACTAAGGATACAGTTTTCATCATTATAGTTACTACTTGTGTTGACAAGCTTTCTTATGTTCAAAAATGTTCAAACTCACACTTTTAATTCTATCCTTCACTTTCTTTAGATGGAGAAAACTAGATAAAAGCAATAAGTTTCTATTCAGTAACCTCTTTGATAGTTTAAGAAATGTCCTGTAGGGTGCTGTTCTCTCAGTTTAGGTCTGGTGAATGGTTAGATCTTTTCTTCTTATGATGAGTGACATATCCAAACCCAATACTTTTTAATAGTTCTCATGCACCACTGAGATTATAAATATACTTTTGTTATTTCTCTTCTTTGTAAGTATAGGTTAATCTTTTCTTTTTCACATTGTCTTCCATAATTACACAAAGCTGTAATACCTCATTGTTTTCTGTGCATACTGCCAAGCATGTTTATATTTAGTGAGAGGATTAAAAGATCTTTGGTGAAGCAGAGGAAGAACAAGAATTAATACTGTGTTAGTAAGCATCAATATTTTAAATTATACTGATATATTTAAGACTCTAAAAACCTCATTGTTGCCAGCTCAGAACGGACTAAAAGTCTCCGTGGAATTTCCAAGGCTGTAAATTGCACAAGAAGCGATTGCCCATCTTTTCTTCAGAGGAGCCACTTGTAGATTGGAACCTCCAGACTGGTATAATCTTTGTATTAGCAAACCAGTGTCCTACAGACTGGCCACCAGAGGGCTCCCTATGCTTAATATTACTATTTTAAAACATGAAAGATGATAGTAAAGAGGAATTTTTTTTATTGGAAAAAACTAAGAGAAGCACATACTGAAATACAAAATTTATTACCAGAGAAAGTATGGTTGCTGTTGTTGTTGTTGTTATGTGCCATTGAGTCAAGTACAATTCATATTGACCCTGTGATCAACAGATCCATACTCTGTCCTATCCTCGGCCATTCTTAACTGTCTCCAACACCATTGCTGAGGTCATTACTGCCCCACCTTTTGACAGGGTTGCATTCTGATGACTGTCTTAAGATGTTTTGTGTGGGTTTTTTTTTAAATTGACATTCTTTATTCTTTGTCCAATTTTTTTTTCCATTCATTCATTGTTGCACTTTTCTCCCCTCTCAACCCTCCCCCCTAGTATACCCTCTTGGAAAAGTAAAAGGAAAATTCTTTCATTGTTTTACAATCCCTCCGCCCAGGTCCACTCCACTATATAGCCTTAGCTCTGGATTCCTGTCATGACAAAAATACCTAAACACATATCCCTTCTTAACAGTTTTCTCCCTCATCTGTTTCAATGCAGTGTACATTATTGAACCCATCTTTCTCAGTCTCCCTCCAACCCAGAGGTCAGTGCTGTTTTACAACAGTGGCACCATGCAGTATTTGTCGTTTTGTGACAGAGATACTTTACTCAGCATAATGTTCTCCAGGGTCACCCATTTTGAGTACTATTGCATGAGTTCCTTGTTTTTCAGTGCAGTGTAATATTCCATTATGTGATTATACCACAGCTTCTCTATCCATTCATTTGTTGTTGGGCACTAGGTTCTTTCCAGCTCCTTGCTATTGTGAACAAAGCCATGATATACTTGGGTGTGCATATATCTGCTTGGATGTCAGTTATGGTTTCTTTGGGGTATATGCCCAGTGGTGGAATTGCTGGGTCAAATGATACCTCTTTGCAAATTTTTGAGAAAGCACCAGACTGCCTTCCACAGTGGTTGCACCATTTTACACTCCCACCAACAGTGAATAAGGGTTCCAGTTTCTCCACAACCTTGCCAGCATTTGTTGCTTGCTATTTTGTTAAATTTTGCTAATCTGACTGAGGTGAGATGAAATCTCATAGTT